CTGGGTATTTAGCAGTCCTGGGGTTCCACTCTCTCCCTGTTCTGACTTGTCTCCTCCCGCCGGTGGACTGGGGTGGGGGGTGCGCTTGGGTCTCGCTGGCCCGCTGCTTGTATCTTACTCCCTTCGTGAGGTGCTGAGTTCTTGCAGATGTAGATGTAGCCTGGCTGTTGTGCTGTATCTTCTGGGCTCTCTTTTAGGATTAGTTGTATTTATTGTATTTTCAAAAATATATATGGTTTTGGGAGGAGATTTCCGCTGCCCTACTCACGCCACCATCTTGGCTTCTCCCCGTATAACTTTTATTTTTATACTAAGGAATATTCATCAATTAACCAGGCTGACTTAGACTAGCCACTTACCAATTGATATGGGTTTTCGCAGACATCTTAGATGACTAAGGACAGAGACTCATTTTTAGAGAAGGTGGAATGTTGAATTGAAGAACCTCAAGATAAACTTCAGATTATTTGAATGTATGACTACTAAAGACTTTATGTTTAAATGATAGGTTAAGCACATTTTCTCTCTTATTTTAGTACCTAAACTCTTGCTCTCTTTAAAAGAGTTGTTTCACTAAAGTATATTATTAGAATTGCATAATGAAATAAGATTGAAGAATATACATGAACTTTCTATCAAACTGTATATTTAATAGAGACCAATGATTAAATCAGATCTTAAACTGATCATATCAAAATGCTTCTTTGCTTGAACGAACATGAAGGGTGAATCAAGCTAAATCAAGTTAAAGGTTAAAAGTTTAAATGAGAGTTTTTGACAAAGTAATTAATTATGGAGTTTATTTCTTGGACTGAAACATTTTGATGTCTATATGCGTTGGCCAGCTATGCAAACCAGCTGAACCTGAGAGGAGTGGATGTGGAGATTAAGAAGAACAGAGGAAAAAAAAAAAAGAACACAGCAAGAAAGATAGAGAAACCAAAGTTAGGATGACAGGAGGCTCACTGACTGCTTATGGCGGACAAGTGATGCAGATTTATTTCATTGTATATAAACAGCACTGTTTATATACACAGGCTCACATCCTGTGAGCTTCCCACAATGATGTCACTTCCAGTGACATCACTGGCTGATCACACAACTGGTGATCTCATATCTGGTGATATCATTTCTGGAAGAGATCTTACTTCTGGCTTCTACACTTCTGGCCGTCCAATTCTGCCACACTTCTGTTCTGGTGTGGAGAGCTCATGCTAGTGAGAGACATAAACAATGATAGACATATGCATGAGGTGCTGTGGGGGCACAGAAGTCAGGTAATCCAGCCTAAGTGCTGGGGAAGAGGCTTCAAAAGGGCCCACCTCTTGGGAAGGTGATGTCTGAACTTACTTCTTTTCATTTAGAGTTATTTTTCAAGAACTGAGTATACATTTACATTTAAGTACATAAAACAACCTGTTTTATCTTTAATTTTTCTAGGGCTGCTTTGGAAGAGGTAGAAGGAGATGTGGCAGAATTGGAGCTAAAACTTGATAAGGTAAATTTCACTTTTTTACTTTTAAAACATTAATTCTTGGTTTCCCTAAATAATGATTTGTGTCTGTAATGCTGGGTGGTTCATGTTCTTTTATCTCCATGAATTTTACACATAAGCAAATTGAGGGTACGTACATTAAGTAGCTTGTTAAAAATCTAAGTTCCAGGGCAAGAATTTGAACCATGTCTGACTTCAAAGCTTACTAGACATCATTTATATTGTTGGAAGTTTGTTTCCTTATCTCCATCAAAAAGATTGCACCTGTCTTTTTTGATGCTTATTGGATTTCGTACATAACCTTGTCATTCTTGTTTATAAATTTGGGTGTGACATGTTAAAATATAAATAAAATTTAAAGTACTCATTACATTTTTTAAAAGCTAATGCCAGAAATGCTTAATATATTTTTAAATAATTGATACTAAATGGTCATATTCTATATAAGGGTAAATATGAATTGATTCCTACCTTCTATACTAATGATTGATAATCTTTTTTTTAATCTCTACCCAAGAAACATTGTCTGCTATATAAAGGCAGAAGTGTGAAAATGAGTAAGACATGGCTTCTGATCTTAAGTTATCATTACTTATTGAGATATGTTTCCTAAAAAATTTATGGAGATAAATCAGATACACACATTTGAAGTACCTTTTCTGAATATAATTTCCTATTATATAATTATTATTGTAAATGGTATTGCTGTGTACAAATCAGTACTTCTCAAACCTTACTCTGCATAGGAATCATTGGGGATCTTATGAAAATAATAGATCCTAATTCAATAAATCCTGATTCAGTAAATCTGAGATTGTGTGTTTCCAACCAGGTTTTAGGTGAGGAACAATGCTGTTATTCCATGGACCCCACTTTGTATAGCAATAATATAAAATGTATTATTTAGTCTGAAGGCTTTGAAATCATAAAGACATGCATATGGTATGTGATAAAAATAGTACATAAACTATATAAAGCAATAGTATATATTTTAAAAAATCAAAATTTTAGAAAATATTCAGTAATGTTATTTTTGTGTACTACTATGTAGTTTTCAAAGTACTTTGATATGCAGTACATTTTTTTCATTTTTGTGGTGTTTCAAATCACAAGGTAGAGGAAGGAGAACCAGGGTTAGAACCCAAATGTTTTCATTCTTAGTTCAGTGCACTTTTGTACCACTCTACTTCTGGATCCACATTTGGGGAGCACATGCCACTTGGAAATTTTCTGAGTAAATGCTAACAAATTTCCAGGCAAGTGTTTTTACAAATTAATGTTAACAGTTTTGGTAAGGGTGTTACTTTCAAAAACTTTATTTCCTATTGAAAATTATATTTATGGGATTATTATTGTTATTTTACCTGAGGTATTATGTTTATTTTTAAGCACTCTTTGAAACAGGTTTTAAAACCCTTAAAGTAAGCAACAGAACATGTAGTTTGATTTTCTGATAGATATTTGAGAAAGTATATAAAAGGGCAAGGTTTTTTAAAGAATCACAGGGTACTGTAATAAGGGTATTTATTCTCTTGAAGTAGAACTGTATCCAAATCATAGGAAACATTTTGTGGTTCTGAAGGGACCTCAAAATTTAAAGTATCTAAACAGGTAGAATCCACTGATAGCGTGTTTGTTAATGATTTTGCTTTTATGAGTAGCTTTATTTTTTTCCCCCTTTACATCATTTGGTTGCGGCTGGGAGACTGACAGCATCTTAAAACCAAAAGATTCAAATGTAAAACAAGTGTTGGCATTTAGCACTAAGAACTCTAAGCCCTTTCTAGAGTATATATTACTAAGAGCATCATGGAAGCTTTGATATCTTTTAAAATATCATCTTCTACCCAAGTAAAATTTCCATAGTTGCTTTTATGTTTCTCTAGTTAAAATCTTTATCCTTTATAAAATGTACCTCTCCCAAATTCTTAAACTATTGTCTATGCCTTTTACTTTAGAATTATGAGGGGTTAGCATAGAGAAGAGATCCTGAGAGAAAAAAGGAATGGTTGTTATTGATGGTGGTAACTTTGAAGGATTAGTGGAGGGGAGGGGTTGCCCAATACTAGTTTGTTTCATAACTTTGTGCAAGGCAAGTTCCACCTGTAATAACATTGTAAATCATGTCATCAACAGGTTAAACTAGCTTGATGACTTAGCTTATATTTATTTTGCTTATAATATATTCTACCGATAGTTATTCTCTTCCTGGTGAATAATGCTTCATGAGTGACATTGTTCGACTAGGTCCAATTATTTGTCCATTCTTCTAGGTGTCCTGGCATTGGCAGCATCATAGAGCATCACAGTTTCTTCTAGGTATAATTTCTGTATCTGTTGCATCTTCTCACTGGAATGCTTGCTCTTTGTTTTCTTGTTTTTTTTTTAATTCTTAATTTTTTTATTAAGATATCATTGATATACACACTTATGAAGGGTTTCACATGGAAAACATTGTGTTTACTACATTCACCCATATTATCAAGTCCCCTCCATACCCCACTGAAGTCACTGTCCATCAGTAAGATGCCACAGAGTCACTACTTCTCTGTGCTACACTGTCTTCCACGTGACCGCCCCCTCCACACACACACCATGTGTACTAATCATAATACCCCTCAATCCCCTTCTCCCTCCCTCTACACCCACCTTCCCCCACCCCTCCCCTTTGGTAACCGCTGTTCCCTTCTTGGGTTCTGTGAGCCTGCTGCTGTTTTGTTCCTTCAGTTTTTCTTTGTTCTTATACTCCACAGATGAGTGAAATCATTTGATACTTGTCTTTCTCTGCCTGGCTTATTTCACTGAGCATAATACCCTCTAGCTCCATCCATGTTTGTTGCAAATGGTAGGATTTGTTTTCCTCTTATGGCTGAATAATACTCCATTGTGTGTATGTACCACATCTTCTTTATCCATTCATCTACTGATGGACACTTAGGTTGCTTCCATTTCTTGGCTATTTTAAATAGTGTGCAGTAAACATAGGGGTGCATATGTCTTTTTGAATTTGATAACTTGTTTTCTTTGGGTGAATTCCTGGGTCAAATGGTATTTCTATTTTTAGTTTTTTGAGGAACCTCCATATTGCTTTCCACAATGTTTGAACTAATTTACATTCCCACCAGCAGTGTAGGAGGGTTCCACTTTCTCTGCATCCTTGCCAGCATTTGTTGTTCCTAGTCTTTTTAATGGGTGAGGTGTGAGGTGATACCTCATTTGCTTGCTCTTTGTTAAGCAGATACCCTTTAAATCACAGCTCAAGTACACCCAGACTTAAATTTTTTTTCTTGTATTGCATTGCTTCTTGCATGCACTTAAATCTCAATTATTATATTACTGTAATTTTTGGTTTGTAGCATAGTCTAATATGAAGAGCACAAAGCCTGGGACAAGACTGTCGGCATTTCATCTGATTCTACCACTTAATTAAGCTGTAATGGTCTTGGGCAAATTCCTTAACCTTCCTATGCTTCAGTTTCTTCATTTCCAAAATGAGGAAAATAAGTAAAATAAGAGTATATCTGTCTCATAGGGCCATGAAAATAAGATGAGATGTGTTAATACATATTATGTGCTTAGCATGTTTCTTGGCATATGATAAGTTCTAAATGAATGTTAATGATGATGGTGTCTCTTCAACTGTTAGTTCCTTGAAGACAAACTCTTTAAAGGGGGGAAAAAAACCTCTCCTTTGTTGTGTACTTCTCTGTGCCAAGTCTTATGTTTTACTTGTATTATTAGCAGTCTTGCACAACAGTGTTGCAAAGTGGTATACACAGTTAGCATAGGTTAAACATGAGAGTTAGGATGTTACTAGACAAGGATAGCCAACAAATAGTTGTTTGTATGCCCATCATCTGGCAAAGTGCCTATGACAGTTGTTACTTTAGTGAAAACATGTTGAATGAATTGGGGTCACTAGCTTAATAATTTTGACTAACTTGACATATATTCTTATGCTTAGGTAAAAATATCCTCTCTTTATAGGCTTATATTAGTTATATCTGTCATCACTATCATCTAATAAGAATGTTGACAGCTGGCAAAGTATCTATTATCAAGTCAGTACTTGATTTAATTTTTTTATGTTTAAATATTTATTCCATTTGAAATTAATTTGAGGGTTTGGAATCCAACTTAGTTTCTTTCTTTTTTCCCTGTAAGATAGGTGTCTAGTGTCTGTATGTCATTTATTGGATAATTTTTCCCCCACTGGCTGTAATTTTACTTTAATCAAGTATTACGTATTTGAATCAGTTTCTTGACTCTGTATTGTATTCTACTGATCAATTTGTCTATTCATATCCATTACCAGACTTAATTCCTGCATTAATATAATCTGTTTTAATAACACAGAGGCTAATGTCCCCACTTCATTGTTCTTTTTCAGTTTTTTGTTTGTTTTTGTTTTTGCTCTTCTTGCATTCTGGTTACTCTGTATGGATTTTAGAATTAGGTTTTCTCATTTTTAAGACATCCAATTTTTTGTAATTACCAAACTATTAGGCTAGTCTCGGACAGCATTTCTCAGAGCAGGTTTTGTGGAACATTGGTCCTATGAGAGTGCTTCATCTAAAGAGATTTCCATGTCAAATATTTTTGAGAAATGCTGTATATTATACCTCTCATCTAGGATTCATTATACACATTAATATACCAAAAGCTCTTAAAAGTTTAGCAGTAAAGAAATCTGTTTAACTTTTTGAAAGAGTTTTTCAGACTTATTTTATTACATAATCATTATTTTGGTACAGAATATTTCCTGTAGGATGTTCTGTAGAATATATATTGGGAAACATTGATCTATCATTATATGTTCTTCATCTATAGTTTATAACTCACTGTAATCTGGCTATAGCCCCCCAGTCATTTTTCTTAAAACTATTTTTGCCAGGGATGCCAGTGGAAACTCAAAATACATTTTTTTTTTTGAGAGGGCATCTCTC